GAGGCGTTTTCCCTGGGGGCCTGGAATGGCCGGGGTCAGCGGTGGCTTCTGCATGATGGGTATCTGCTAGGCCTGATCACTAGATCCTTATATCTGGAGAGCGTTGACTGCGGAAGGTGCGATCAAGCTCTGCTCGGTCCCTGCTCTGCGAGCAGGGTGTAAATAACCCAGCAAGCACCTTGTCTGCGTGGCCTGCCTGAACGTGGGCTATTTTCATACTAGTGTTAGCAAGGTACACAGGGTGACATGCAGCAGGTCTGGCCCCAGACATCCCTTTTTCTGAAAATGTATGCAAAGAGAGCGTTGACTGCGGAAGGTGCGATCAAGCTCTGCTCGGTCCCTGCTCTGCGAGCAGGGTGTAAATAACCCAGCAAGCACCTTGTCTGCGTGGCCTGCCTGAACGTGGGCTATTTTCATACTAGTGTTAGCAAGGTACACAGGGTGACATGCAGCAGGTCTGGCCCCAGACATCCCTTTTTCTGAAAATGTATGCAAAATTTCCTGCCCTGAATGTTCAGACACACGCTGCCCGGCTGTGTTGGCTGTTTACTAAATCATGTTTTGTTATAGCTGTGTTGAAGCTGGCTGTTTGAAAGGATGCTTTCTTTTCCAGCTCAGGCAGAGGGTTACACACATGTACAAAATAAACAACTTTTTTTTTTTTTTTTCTGTTTAGGTTTAAAACTTCTGCTGCATGGTCTTTGTTCCAACACCACAGTCAAATCTTTAGATTTGAAGGTGAGTATGTTTAAATAAAACTAAGACAAAGACGTAGGGAAGGAAATAGGAGCACAAGCTTAATGCAAGTTAGAAATAGACTGTCCTGGTGCAGGATTGTTCTACAAGATGTTTACGTTTGTAAAGTTCTAGTTCCCAAATGACTCAGTCCTTGCTTTCCTAACAGCATGTCAGGACTTCCCAAAGTTTATTTGCAGTTCAACTTTGTTTCTGTTCAGTTACTCTGTTTTGATATGAAGTTATGGCTGTGTATCTTGTCAGTTGCTGCTTGATCAGGTGAGGCATATGTAGGCCTTTCTGTGGGTTTCTACATTAATCAGTGAGTTACTGACTTGCTTTGAATGTTGGTGGCACAGAGCTCTTACTGCATCATACCTTTCTTTCTCATCTCTGCTGCTGCCAGCCAAGCCCTTTTTAGTGAAGTGAGATAAATTATTATTATGCTTACCTAGAATCAGCATTTTCTGACCCATTGTGGGCCATGCTGATCCTGAGGTGTTGGTGATTTTTGTGAGCTTTCAGTCATGATGCCTCACAGGACTAACAGTGTATGTAACCACCGTTCCTCCTGGGGTCTTCTGTTTTCTGGAGGGCTGGCTGAGATGTGAAACAAGTGCTACCCAGAGCATCTCTGGCAGACTGAAGTCAGTGTTACAGCTGGAGTGTGCCTGGTGGTGTTTGGTGGGGTAGCTGTGCTGGGACAGGGCTTAGCCCACTGGTCACCTGGGACTTCTCTTTCAGGGAAATAACCTGCGAACCATGGGAGCTGAGGCTTTGGGAAAACTTCTTAGGCAGAACAAGTCCATCAGGAGGTAACACTTCTACCTCTCTGTCTCTGTCTACCTCTCTGTTATTCCTGCCAGGTGGAGCACAAGATTAGAAAAGGGTTGAGGGTGTTTTTTGTTGGGTTGGGAGGGTTTCTTGTGAGGGATGGGATGGATGAAGGAGTGAGAACTGGCAATGCCATTCCTGAGCTGCAGGGCCCTAGCAGCTTCCTGCTCTCTGTACATGAGCCTCTGTTAGGGGAGCTAGGTGTTCAAGTGGGTACCATGATCCAGGTATCATTCAAGCACTTGCAACTGTCCATTTACTTTATGAACTCCAGTCCTGTCTGATTTTTCCTAGCCTAATTTTGGAATGGAACAGCCTTGGCGTGTGGGAGGAGGGCTTCTCCTTCTTCTGCCAAGGCCTGGGAGCAAACAATGTTCTCCAGCTGCTGGATCTGCGCAATAACCAGATCAACCACCAAGGGGCCGGGGAGCTGGCCCTGGCACTGAAACAAAACGCCAGCCTGCAGGAGCTGGGTATGAGTGACTAGTTCGTTGTCCACCTTCATATATATCCATGCATGCACACCTGTATCTTCAGCTTTGTTGCAGCCTGCCCTCCTCTGTACTAACTGGACAGTGTCATTTCCAGTTCCTATCACCTGGAGTGCTTTGTGCAGGCATTAGAGCTCACAGAGCAGGAACTGAAATTGGAATTTCTGGAACCAAACCCACAGCTGAAAATGGTGTGCTTGGAGCACAGCAGTTCTTAGTGGAGGAGGGAAGGGGTTCATTCCCACTCATGGATGCTGTTGGCATGCCTGTTGCAAGATTGAGGCTTGTTTCAGACTTGCTTTGTCCTTAGTAAGGAATTTTGCAATAATTTCATTCAAGAAAATGTGGCTCGTGGTAGCGGTCTTTTCTCACCCACAGATAGTGGTTTTGGAAAGAAGGCTCATGAGATTAAAATATGAGGGGCAGACTTGTGTACCTTTTGAACTGTCATGGCTTCCTGTGCTTTACTTCAGTTAATATTCACCCTTATCTTTCCTGCTTGATTTGTCATTTTCCCTTCCTCTCATTCATCTTGAAAGGGGACAGTGTTCATCTGTGTTTGTACTGAGACCATCTGGGGTTAGTTAGTCTGCTTGTAGGTGTAGAAGGAGCATGGTTTGAGCCCTGTGTTTTTCAGCAGATGTGTGACTACCAGGGTGAAAGTTTGCTTTCTGTGTAGATTTGCGCTGGAATAACGTTGGGCTTCTGGGTGGCCGAGCTTTGCTGAACTGCCTGCACAGCAATAAGACCCTGAAGAGGCTGGAGCTGGCTGGGAACAATGTTCCTAGTGACATCCTGAAGGCTGTGGGTAAGTATTACTTGTTGCACAGGAAAGAATCAGTAACTCCTTTCCCATTTCAGCACTTGAGAGGTACAGAGCAGGTGCTCCAAGAGAGCTGTCCCTCCTCCTTCCCTTTCTCAGCAGCATTTACTGTGCTGCTGCCCCTGGTCCTTTGATGAGGGCTGCTTGGGTTGGAGGTGTCACTTCTGCCCGCAAGGGGGAAAACATAATTTTGATTGAATTAGAAATTACTGTGCCATGTAAATGTAGAACTTGAGGGTCTATTTTGCCTCTGAGTAGCCAAGTTTGGATACGGCTAAAGCAGCATGTCCTTTGTCATTGTCCTGCCTGCCATGGAGCCGAACGTCTCTCCTGTGGCTGGGCTGTCACTGATCCCACGTGTCTGTGAGAGCAGCCACTGTGTGGGGCAGCCTGAAAAAAGTCACTACTCCCCGGTGTGTGTGAGCCCAGCCACTGTGTGGGACAGCCTGAGGAGGGCTTCTGTCCTCTTGCTTCTGATAGCTAGGGTCAGCCTGAGTGCTGTCTTTTCCAGCAGTGCTTCCTATTCTCTAGCTTTAGATACGTGTGCTCTCCTACTCTTTCTGCATCAGAACAGGCCATGGATCACAACCAAGACCGTCAGACTATCCTGAGTGAGACCCAGAACCGAACATCCATACTCAGCAAGGAGATTTTGAGTCTGAAGGATGAGAAGACCAAGCAGGTCAGCAATGTTGCGTGCTGGCAGTTCAAATGAGGCATCTGGAATCCCATGCTTTCCCTTAGCACCCCCATGAAACACCCAGTGACAGGGTTATTGTGCACCTGAAGTTGAGTGTGTGTCTTTACATCAGGCACACAGCATGACTTAGTGAATTGTGTCCTTCCTCTGAGCATGGTTGCCCAGGAATCAAATCTGTGACAGTATAGGTATGGACAGATGCCCTCTGAACATACTGACTTTGGATTTTGGAGTTTTGTTGTTTTTTTGAGCCATATTCATGCTTTCAGTTCTTCTTTTGCAACTGGTTTGATATTTTCCAAGTGGTGAAAATGTAGAAATGTGAGTCAGTTTTTCTTCTGATTCCTAATTGTGCAGAGTTCCTATAGTTGATGACCTCAGTCAGATGTGCTAATGAGCCTTTCAGTAGAGCAGCTTGACCTGTCTCCAGCCATCATTAGGAAGGGAAAGATGAGAAATGTAGATGCTTCAAGCTGATGCAGTTCATTTTCTCACTGATGTTTGCTTTATTCACAGTTCTTGGATTTGATGGACACTATAGACAAGCAGAGAGAAGAAATAGCCAGGAGCAGCAGGTAGGTTGAATTTCTGAGTGCTTTCTGCTCTTTGATAGCAGAATTGGGCCCTGTCCTTTTTCTGGCAGAAATTACCCACCTTTTTTTTTTTTTTTTCTGTTTTTTTCCTCCCAAATGCAGAATGTCTGCAGCACGAGTCAGCCAGCTGCAGGAAGCATTGGAGGAGCAGCACTCTCTTATGAATTCACTGAAAGCCAAGTATGAAGGAGGAAAACCTGAGCCTTCCCTGTGTTCTCTGCTGTACAGGCAGCGTTGAGCAGAGCTGTTCAGAAGGGGGTTGATGTTGTAGAGTGGCTGGCTTACTGTTTCACTTAGTTCTGCAGTAATATCTGGAAATCATGTGGATCACACCTTTTGAGTTTGCCACACTAAATGTTTAGCCAATTCTTAAATAATTTTACAGCACATTGGTGTAAGATAAAATGAATTACAGAGGGTGAAAAGGAAAAAAAGAAGGGATTGTGGGAATGGGTTGGGGACATGTTTCTTGCACAGTTCACAGCCTAGGAAGAGTCTGTACCCACATCCCCTGGCAGTTGGCAGGATCCTCTGAGGACCACTGCAGATGTGGAAGAGGCTGACCAGCAAGATTGTGCTTAGGAACAATGAGGTGGAGCTGCCCAAAAGCAGTGTTAGATTGGACAGCCATATGCACATGGCACATGGTTAGACTTTAAGCATTGATGAGCCTGGCTTGTTCAGTTCCTCCTGGTGAAGGTGGTTTCATTATGCTGTGCCTCTACCTGCAGAGTAAGCAGATTGCTTCTGCTGCCTGTGTTTAAAATAATATCCTTAATTTTAAACAACCTTGCAGTGGTATAAAATAGCCAGCTTAGTGTTCCTGTGAGAGTGGGCAAATCCTGAAGGGGTCCAGGTACAGAAAATAGCTCATGGAAGACAACACAGGAAAAACACAATGAGACACCAGAAAGCCAGACTCTGAGAAGCCCCAGGTCATTCACTGTTTGCAGAGGGTGCAGACACAAGCAGTGTCCTTTTGCGGGGTCAAAAAATGCCTCGCTTAGCTAGCCTGATTTAATCCACTGCCAAATACATGTTAACATCTTGTGCATGTGGCTTAGAGGTCTCACTGGAAGTGTCTCCCTTAGAGAGAACTCTGGAAAGTGTTTCTGTGTATAGGCTGCAGATGACTGAAGCTGCCCTGGCCCTGTCGGAGCAGAAGGTGCACAATCTGGGAGAGCTACTGAATGCCACAAAACGGGAACAAACCAGCATGGCTGAGCGTCACTTCATGGAGCTCCAGCAGCAAAAGCAGGTGAACTGGATAAGTCCTAGTTATGTTTGGGAGCAGGGTTCCAGGTCGTGCCTGGTTTGTGTGGATCTGGGGGATGCTGGATGGGATAGGTAAGCATGATTTTTAGTGGCTTAACCACTGCTGCCGTGACACATGACTTTGTGTGAATTAGGTGGGTGAGAGCTAGGTGTGGAGAGGAGCTGTGGTGGTTATGGGGTAGGTTGGATTTATTTGGGTGTGGTGTTGGTTGGGGTAGGTTGGCAGTGCAGGAACTAAGGGATTTTGATTCTATTTGCAGGAAGGTGCTGATCGGGAAAGCAAGCTTTTGCGTGACTTGTCTGCTGCTAGTGAGAAGAATCTGCTTCTAAGAAACCAGGTAGGAAAGTAAGTCCAAGGCTGAGAAGTGGGACTTGGGCATTGTTCATTTCTCCTCTGTACATATGTTGTGTGTCTCTGCTGATTGTTCTGTACAGCCAACTTTTTCTGCTAATAGGAAAGGGAAATTATTTGTGATGTTAATTTCCTTGTAGGTGGATGAATTGGAGAAGAAGTGCAAAGTTCAGCAAGATCAGCTATTCCAGGTGAAACAAGACTTGACCAACACAACAGCAGAGCTGAAGCTGCGGGCTGTGCAGGCTGAGGGTGAGTGTAGGAGCAGAAACAGCTCATAGACATCTGTGGGTTAGGATTATAGTCCAGGAGTCAATGGTGCAAGGCAGTCTAGGAGGAAGGGTTGGGAGAGTTTGGAGTAAATACAACCTGTGTAGCAGGAATTCTAGGGTTGTGATATGCCTGCTCTTAATCTGTAGAGCGCCTGGAAACAGAGAAAAGAAGATTTAAACAAAGCCTTGAAGATGTGGAATCCCTTCGGTTAAAAGAGGTGAGAATGGGGTTTCTGCAGTTCCCTGAGGTTAGTCTCTCTTTGGTCCTGACAAACACCACTGGAGGTCATTGATTGCTGTCAGCTGCTCTGAAACAAGTTTAAAAGTTAGTGGACTCAGATTTACTGTGGGAATAACAAGTGATTTCTACAAGCAAAGCCCAGCTGAAGAGATCACAGGACATTCCACCAGCCAGTAAGATCTGTAGCTTGCAGGATCATGGGCAGAGTGGTGCATGTTCTACAGAGGAGGCTTGGAGCTCACCCCTGTGTCAGTCTTGTAATGCACAGGGGTGGTGATGAATAAGCAGTCTTGTCAGGCTCACTGAACTAAAGGTGCATCAACGGGGGATGTCGAGACATGCATGCTGTGTACAACCAGTCCCTTAATGGGGCTCAGCTTGCTAGTTCCTCTCTCTGTTATGTTTCAGGGGGATTCTGTCTGAGTGTGGACAGGACAAGAGGCTCTGATCAACTCTCTTTGGAGTGATTATTGAGGTGTGAATTCTCTCTCTCTCAAAAAAAAAGATATAAGTAGGTTTTCCTGAAGATTCTGAAATCTTGTAAGAAGAGATATAGACCAGGAAGGTTTTAGCTGCATTACAACTAGAAAATTAATCTCTGGGTTTTTGTACCACTTGAAGATGAGAGCTTGAGCTCTGTACCTTGGCCTGGAAGTGATCTCTGTCTAAAGTTCTTAGTTTCTAGTGGGCAGATTCTATCTATATTACAATTTCCTAGTGGAGCTCGGAGGGAGGTAAGAGTTTTTCTTTTGTGGTAGGTGGGTCAATGAGAGGATGCTCTTTCTCCTGCTGGATGACTATGTTGCTATGCCTGGATATTGGATTGGGTTTCTGGCACTTGCTTAAATGGTTTCTTTTGCTTTGCAGGTGGATCATATGACACAGCACATGGAGGCCAGTGAACGTTCCATGCAGGACAGGATCCAGAGGCTGGAGGCCATCAGGATAGCTCTGGAGGAGGTGAGAATGGATGCTCCAGGTGCATTGGAGTGCTCAGGTAGCAGTGCCAGAAAAAGGCTGCTGGGGAGCTTTGGAGTCTTCCATTGATGACCTCTGTAAAGGTTGTCATGTGCTGTAGGAAGGAATAGAATACAGTAGTTTATCAGCTGAAATTACTTTTACTGTTTTGCAATAAGGAAGGAGAAGGTTCCAAGAAGAAACTTGTAGATTCTGATTGAGCAAAACCAGAGTTTCCATTGAATGTGGTTAGATTCTTAGCAGGATTTGACTTCACAGATTTCCTGTGTGGTCCCCAGTAGTGTAGTGTATTTATCCTTACATGTTCTTCCAGCTAGATCCAGTGCTACCCTCTCCTGTTCCCCTTGCTTTGGAAAGCTTCACACTTTTCTTGCCTCCATATAACTGCAATTCTCATTTAATTTAGATGACAGTCATGGGTTGAAAAAAGGTGTATGATCTGGGTTTGCTTTCCCTGCCCCTGAGTGGGAGAGACAGCTGAGTCACATTGTAGTCTGGGGCTGGAAGCTGCTCATGTTTTCTGGTTAGTGTTACAGTTTCTCAGTCTGGAATGATCTTCTGTGTTTCTGTGGCAGGAGCTGAGCAAAGTCAAAGCAGCTGCAGTCACTGAGCAAGGCCGCACAGAGGAGGAGTTAATAAAAGTCCGGAGTCAGGCACGGCTGGAGGAGGTAAGGACAAGACCTGGCTGTGGGAAGGAGCAGGTTGGGCTGCCTAGCTTATGTTTTTTGTCTTAGGGAGCTGCTGAGTAACTTCCCACTCTGGGTTTCACTGGCCTGCAAATAGTGTGATTTCTGAGGAAGAAATCCCAAAAAGTCTGGTTTGAATTGCCTCCAGAATGTAACTACTCCCACTGGCTCTGTTCTTTCCAGTAGTGACAGAATTGATGTGGATATTGTCATAGCAGATTGCATTTAATTTGCCAACTTTTGAAGCTAACAGCCAGATGTCAATCCTTCTGTTTGACAGCAGCTTTCATGGAGGACTCCTTTTTCTCTGCACTCAGAGGAATTTCTGCAGGTGGCTAGGGCTGCTGGATACAATAAGTCACTGTAGAGCTGAACTTTGTGAAAATGGCGATGAAGTCAGTACCTTGTGAAAGAGAACAAGTGATGAGGAAAATACACCAAAATACACCAAAATTACCAGAATGTTTACTTATACGTAAAGTCACAAAAGAAAGTGCTTTACTGAGTTACAGATACATGAAAGCTGCCATGTATGTCTGGTGGGGCACAGCAGTTGCTGCGCTGCACACAGTGCTGTTTCAGAGCCATTTGGGATATGGAGGAGGTGAAGGCAGAGCATTAGCTGTAAGCACCAGCAGTGGTGTTGGTGCCTCTGCCAGGGACATGCCTCTGTTTCTCAGTGAATGAGCTGGACTTTACAGCGTCCCCATCAAAATGTTTTCCCAGGTAAGAGAAAGCAGCTTGGATTCACTCCTGAATGCAAGGGAGAAGTGCTGTATCTGTTACAGCCAAGTCCTGTGCTTGTTCTTTAGTGCCAGTTGTCTCAACCAAAGGTTCACTGTGTTGGGAACAAAAAGGGGAGAATCCCTTTGCAGGAACGGAAAGGACTAATATATTTTCATCTTCCTTTGTGTCTTACAGCAGCAGAGACTAGAACACCTAGAAGAGAAGCTGAGGCTGATGGCCGAGTCCCGGGATGAAGCTCAGAGCTGCTGCCTGAAGCAGAAGCAATTGGTTTCTGAGGCCCAAGCCAAAGCCAGCCAGCTGAGCCTGCACGCGGATGGGCTCAGGAGGCGGATAGAGGAGCTTCATCAGGTGATTTGGACTGGAGTAGAGAGATAGTCACCACACGGGTAGAACAATTAGTTGAAGTAGTTTGGTTATTCATGGATTTGTCTTTATGTATCAGGAGCTGAACAGTAAAGAAGAGGAGAAAGTGACAGAGGTGAATAAAATGAAAGTGGAATTACAGGAGCAGATTGGCCATCTGCAGGCTGAACGCACAGCACAGGAAGGACTGAGAGAGAAGATTGCAGCCCTGGAGAGACAACTGAAAGGTGATGGATACTTTCATGCTTCTCAAATGGTGATGCTGGGTTACCTTACAGTGGTCCTGGAACTGAGCTACACTTAGAGGTAGTGACATCAGTGCTTCCTGCCTGTGGGTACAGCTATGAATTGCACCCTCTTTCCTGATTTATTTGCAAGGATTCTTGTCCTCATTTTATAGATAGCAAGACTTGGATAACTATCCAAAGCAGCACAGCAAACAAAATGTTTGGATTTCCTGCAGTGAAAGTGTAACATCTTGCCTGTGTGAAAACTTTCATGCTGTCCCTTGCAGCTTCTCTTGTGTGTCTGTTGATCATCCTGCTTCCATTGGCTTTGGCTGTGACTGTAATGAGTCTTTCCTGTTTATTCTAGGAACACTCTTAATTTTCCTTACTAGTGCTGCTCTTCTTTTACAGCCCTATCAAGTAATCACCGTGAGGCACTGCTGGACAAAGAAGGTGAAATCTCTATGCTGCTGGAGAAACTGAGAATGAAAGAGGCTGAAATCTCCAGGATGAGGGAAGAAGAGGCCCAGCGAGCAAGTTTCTTGCAGAATGCCATCATGGCATATGTGCAGGGCTCCCCCTTGGGCACCCACAGTTGTAGGAAATGAGAGCACGGCTTAAAGAATCCAGATACCTGCTGTCAGGAAGAGTGAGCAACTGAGGTACAGCCCCTTCTTTCTACATGGGACAGTTTTGGCACAGTGGGGTGACAAAGGCTTGCAAACACAAAAAATCACTCTTCAGAAATTTTACTCCTGGCCACATAATGGAGAGCAGGAAACAACCATCCAGGGCAAGGACAGAGGCTTGTGGGTGTGAGTTAATTATGTGGAGCCCTTCTCCTGCACTGCTACAGCATTTGAAGTAGTTTCCTTTTCCACAGCACCAGTCTGTTGGCACACCGTGTTGTTACCTGGGGATTGTATGTGCCTTGGGCAGTGGTCATTCTGAGGCATTTCGTTGGATGTCAGTGCTTTTCACAGCCTGGTAAGTGACAGGCAGCAGCTTTTACAGTTCTCTGAAGGTGGGAGCCGTTTACTTTGCTCCTGGGACCCTGAAGTTGCTGGAAACACCAGGTCTTACTCACTTGTGCTTTTGTACTTAGTGCTTACAGAGGGAAGCAGCAGCTGACAGGGCTCACTGGCTCTTCTGCCCTGCTCCCTGTGTCTCTGGCTGCAGTGATGGGTGGTAGATGGACATTCATAATACATAGAAACAGCTCTGCAGGGGGGTATCTCTGTGCAGTGGCTGTCCAGGTTCTTGCTGGACAGCTGGGCTTTGGCCATGGTTCAAGTCTCTGCGACACAAACCGGCACAGAAAGGGTGGGGTGGGGTGTCAGGGGTCAGCATCTGTGCTTTGTCACCGTGAACCATAGTCCTTGGCTGGACTTCTTGTGGCCAAAATGCAACAGGATTTAATTCCACAATGACAAATGACAAAACTGTCCTGCGGGCTTCTCAGGATCCTGGAGCTGAGTGCTGTTTTCTGGGCCTTACCCTGGGGAGGAGCAATGCTTCTGCCTCAGCATCGGGGAGCTGATCCTCAGAGCACAAAGGGAAGAAGAAGGTGCTTCCTTTCCTGGCAACACAAGGCCTCATGTGGTGTGAAGGGATGTGAGGGACTGAACTGGAGAAAGTGGAGACCTCTGTCAGGACAGCAGTAGGAGACCCTCCTGTTAGCTTCTCCAGTGAGTCTCTGGTGGGAGAAATTAACTTGTGCATACTTTAGAGGCAACTGGAAAACAGAACTTTTTGTGTGGACTGGTTGGTTTGTGTTTGTGATTTTTCATACTGAGTTTTGCTCTGCTTTTTTAATAAAAGAGCTTTTGCATTTTTCCATAACTGGACAGTGACAAGCTGGATGTGTGGGTGATGTGGAGTGAGGGCCCTGCTGCTGTGTTACTCTAATGAAGATCCTCCTAGTCTGTCCTGAAGCTAAAAGGTTGTTATTGGTGGATAAGCTAAGGATGTCTACAGATTTTGGTTCTGAACTAAGGTAAAAGAAGCTGACCCCAAATGCCCCAGTCACAAGGCCAGAGCCCGTGTTGGTGGATGGTCTGTGGATGCTGGGCAGCTCTGCAGACCAGCAGGTAAAGGAAGAGCAAAGCCTGTTGTTCTGAGACACATTCTCCACCGAGAGGTGGAGGATTCTAAAAGTTATCTTTATTCAGGATTGCTGCTGCTGCATCTCTGCTTCTCAGCCCCTCCGTGCAGATGCTGGTGAACCCTGCAGCTCTAACAGAGCCGGGTTTTAAAGCCTCACCCGAGCGCAGGGGGCCGGGGCTGCGGGGCCCGGGCGGGGCGGGCCGGGGCAGCGGG